AGTTAGGTCAAAAATCTGCCTAACTAGGGCAAAATTTCACTGTCTTTTTTAGTTCATGAGCATGTATTCACAAAATTATAACTTGAGATCCAAGAATTTTTAGGAAAATTTGTGTGAAGAAAAGTTGTAGATTTCATGGAGATCTATAACTTTCATGTTGGAAGTTTCTCTTGAATCATTTTTCATGATGGTGAAAATTTGGCTCAAAGTTGTGAAAAAATAAAAAAATTTCTATACTTAGAAAAATTTCTAAGTTAAGAAATTTCATCTTTTCAAAATAAAATCTTTATTTCTTGATGAACAAGTTTCATATTTTGACATGTTTTGATGAATTATGATCTTTGGCATTTTATTTTTACCAAAAAGTCAAAGTTTGACTATTCAGTATACAATTGACTTTTGATCAGTTGACTGCAAAATTCATCTGTCAATCCAATGGATTTTTAATGTTTTGAATTATGTTATTAGGTCAAAATGATTCAATTGAGCTCTTGAAATAATTCTTCAAACCAATTGATCATTTTCTAGGTCAAAAATCATAAATTTCCCTTTCTCAGTCAAAACCCTAATTTTGACCATTTTGCTCTTTTGATGATTTGATCAAATTTCTTGAGGAATTGTGGTACAAACTTGATCAAATGATACATATGAGTCTAAGATGTTGATGTGGATAAAAAATTATGCAGTTTGACTGTAAATTGGCCATGGTTGACTTTTTCCCCAATATAGTTGATTTTTAGGTCAATTATTCAATTGACTGATCAAAAGTGTGATCCAAGGCTTGGAGCTTGACATGAGTAATCTTGGGGGTATATAATGGTCCATGAAAGTCATATGAAGCATTGATAATCCAAAAATCCTTGTGCAAACTCAAACCCTAATTTTGGTCATTAGTGCATAAGGAGGTGTCTTGAGTTGATCAAACCCTAGTGCAGTCTTGAACCCAATGAGATCTTGTGAACAAATTCTTGATAAATGAGAGGGAAAATTTTGGGGTACAACACCCATCAATGACATGAATCTCACTCGGATCATCATTCCCTCGAAGATCATTTTCATTCAACACATCATCATCCTCATCCACATGATCATCATCATCATCATCCGGCTGCACATGATCATCCTCACGTACATGTACATGTGTGGGATGTGGGGTGCAAGATCCTCCAGTCTGTGTGGTATGTGGGGTTCTAGATCCTACAGTCTGCTGGAAGAACATGTCATCTGTGTGGGATGTGGAATGTTGGATCCTCCAGCCTGCTGGAAGGATAATGGCGTCTGTGTGGGATGTGGGGGTGCTAGATCCTCCAGTCTACTGAAAGGATGAGGGCATCTGTGTGGAATGTGGAAAACTGGATCCTCTAATATGCTAGAAGGATGAGGGCATCCGGGTATGCGGGAAAAGAAAATCAGGTGGCCTAACAAAAAATGGTACCCCATACAAGCTAATAAAAGAAGAACTCTCAGATAGGAATGACATATTCTGAGAGGAGAGTAATGAGACAAAAGGCTGAGTATTGGCCATGAACATAAGATCGGTCTGACTCTGCGGGAGAGCACGTGACCGACTGAGGTGCCTCATATATTACAAAAAATTGTTTTATAATAAAAAAAACATAATTTTTTATTATTGTTTTTAAAAGCAGATTATATATATATATATATATATATATATATATATATATATATTATTTTGATTTATAAAACAATTTTTATTATATTATATAACAGTTTTTATTAAATACATAAAATTGTTTTTATTATTAAAATATATTATTAGAAATATTTACTATATTTAATATATTTTTTATATTCTGTTTTAAAAAATATATATAACTTTGTTTTTTTTCTGTATTCTTTACTATATTTAATATATTGTCAAAATTAAAAACATAATTTTTTTCTTTTACAATATATATCTATTCTTCAATCTCCTTCAACTTCTTGTACAATCCTTTTGTTGAATCTTCTTTCTAATCTCTTTAATTTCTTGACAAAAAACACATAAATCAACATCACAAAACAATATTAACCTAAACGAAAGTATTAAAAATAAATTGAAGAAATATTATATCTTTGTTACAAAAGAAATTTGGAATTGATTATGGATGTTATTATGGAATTGAATCGGGATGGAAGAAGACAGAAGAGAGAAAGAAGAAAAGAAGGTGGAAGAAACACAGATGGTTTCTGAAAAGAGAGAGCATGTATGTTTATTAACCAATCAGTGACGTGAATTTCACGTCGCAATCTTGTCACTTGAGATTCACGTCGCAACCCCCAATGTTATAATTTAAATATTAACCAATCAGCGACGTGAATTTTACGTCGCAACCTTGCCACGTGATATTCACGTCGCAACCCTTACAAAGATTATATTTTTGTTCAGTCAACCTGCATGTTTCAGAAGAATATCTTGTCAAACGCGGGGTTTTCCCTCTTAAATATTTGCGACGTGTTAAACACGTCACAATAATTTTTTTTTAAAATATTCAAAATTTCCCCTTCAAAACGCGTGATGCTTAATACTTTTTTATTCTACTTTTTAGTTGTGACGTGTTTCCCACGTCGCAACTTTTCTATACAAAAAAAAAATTATGACTAGCGCAGATCAAACCTTACTTTTATTATTTAAATGTTAAAATAATTTAGTGACATGATTATCACATTGCAACTCCTAAATTTTAGTGACATGATAATCATGTCACTAAAACACGTCGCTGGAGAGCATATTTCTTATAGTGACTATTGTTAATTTTTAATAAGTGCCTACTCATGAAGTTTCTCAACATCGTGATGAAATCGAGGGAAAAGTTTGAGAAGTTGAGAGAAAATTGTATGAATGAATCTATCTCATTGATTAAAGAGGGTTGGTTATATGATGTGTATATGTATAAAAGTTAGTTTCTAACAAACTTTAACTAACTAACTTGAATTTGTAACTAACTCTCTAATGAATAAAGTTCCTCTATATTTGGTGTACACTTAGCCATGGTGGACTTGTTAACTTGTAATGCAAGTTATCTATTTTCATATACTTTAACACTCCCTCTCAAGCTTAGCATGGTAGATATCAAATATGTTAAGCTTGAATATGAATAAGTGAAAGCTCTTAGGTGGTAAAGATTTGGGGGAAAAAATATACAAGTTGACCTTGAGACTTGACAACAAGCAGTTTGAACAAGCCTTGTAATATCTTCTCACACAAAATGGAAATAAATTTCAAGTGCTTTGTGCAGTATATTCTCCGGGATCCTGTTGTGTATGCTTCTCCCCTGGTGAAACAGAGGGATATGGATGCTTTGTTTGATGATTATGTTAATCATCTTGTGTCAGATGAGGTCCGAAGTACCTTAGCACCAGACGAATGAAGCTACGTGGATGATTATATCATATGGTTCTTCAAGGTGTCTTATCTATATCTAGTACAAGATACTCCAGGAAAAATCCACTGAGGCCAGCTCATCAAGAGATTTTAGAAGAGGAACAAACACAAGCTGATCATGCCACTGATGTGTTTCTTAGGTGACGTCGTATCATGGAGATTCTGCAGGCGGGTATTGATGGAGGTCTGTTTCCTGATGGCTCTGATGTTAGAGGTGATTTAGATGCCACCATGGAGAAGGCTCAAGAGGCTCTGAGGTACATGAGGCATCGAATGAACGTCAAGAGGGTGACGGGCTGACTCATAGTCCGCCATACTCAGTAGTCTTCTTCGTTGTTAGATAATATTTTTATCGATTTTTAGATTTTATTTGAATAATAGTTTGGGTTACCGCCTTTATTGACTTCAAACACCTTTTGTATTGTTGACTGTTATATATATATATATATATATATATATATATATATATATATATATATATATATATATATATATATATATATATATATATATATATATATATATATATATATATATATATATATATATATATATATATATATATATATATATATATATATATATATATATATATATATATATCTTTGCTCCATATGTCTTTGTATTCATTTTGTAGTTTTCAACAATATGTGAAACAATGCGAAAAGTGCCCACTTCCTGCATACTTTTCTGTTATTGTCTACATAGGAATTGAAAATGTATTTACGGTTCCATCCTATAATTGCATTTCTGATTTTAACTAGTGTTCAATAAAAAAAGGTGTGTCCCAAAAATACATTCCCGGTTACGCAAAAGCATTTTCAGAATTGCATAGGGTGTTTTTCAACCTTACGGGATGAAGTAAGAAATCCTCTTTTTCAACCTTATTGAATTTTCTGTCACCTTGTCATTTTATATATTACCGAAAATATTTCTGGTATTATGAAAAATACATATTACTGCAAAGTTGTGAAGATCGAGTACCGATCGCCATCCGTTGACAAAGATGAGAAACTTGAGTTCATCAACCTTGTGCTGAAGAATGACTCTCATATACGAGCTATGTGGAATACTTTTACCCATTTTGAAGTAAAAGTTCCGATCGAGCTAGATGTGACTATTTCGAGATCGATAGATGATATTACCGCAAAGTTGCAACGTCAACATGAACGTTGAAGTGTAATATTTGATGTATGTTTCAATCCTTATTGTATTATCTATGTTATAATATGAATTGTATTTTAAATGTGAAATTGATATTATTCAATAATGTTTTGCTACTTTCTGTGAAGCACAAAATCAAAAATATAAATTTGGATACAGACCAAAAATAAAATTTCGATTCAGTCAATATTCTATCAAATCTTAATGCGTTCTAAAAATATAAATTCAATTTAAAGGAACATTTTTATAACTTTACATGATGCTTAGAAAATTATAAGATAAAAAAAGAAATCTTCAATATTTACCAACATTAATATGAATTAAGCCCAAACATTTAGCCCAAAGGAAAACACAAATAAAAAAACAAAAACAAAAAAAAAAAGACAGAAATTCATTCATTAACATAACAATATTCATCATCCATTTCGGTTACAATCTGAAATGCCTCGAAATGAAACTCCTCAATCTCCCACCGCCACGCTTCTTCTTCTCTTTCTCCACTCTCCCTCGTTTTCCAACTTCCTCTTTCTCCCTCTCAATCCCTTCTCATCCTCCATTTAATCCACTCCCTTCTTCTTCCTCCACCTCTCTCCGTCGTCTTCGCTGCCGCGCCGCCATGCCGGATCCTCCTCCGCCACACAACTCTGACCAGCCTCCGGAAAACGGTTCCACGCAACTTCAAAGTAAATTCCTCAATTTCACACTTTAGGTTTCGTTGGATTTTAACTTTATCTTTTTTATTTTATTTTATTTTATTTGTGTGTGTATTATTTGCATGACCTTAGTTCTATCAAGTAGTTTTTTTTCCGCTTATGGTCTGTTTTGAAACATGAATTAGAATAGTTTGTGTGATAATTTGAGTTTCTTTTGGTTGAAATGAAAGGGATAAGAGTTAGGGTAGTTCATTTGGACCACACATTAAAATCACTAGAAACTTCAACTGAAACTCATTATATTTATAGAAAGTAGAAACTCATGGTGTGGTCCTCGTTATTCTAAGACTATGTTTGGATTAATGGAGCGAAATTGAGCTCAGCGGAATGAAACATGATGAAATGAAATGGAGGGAAGCATAATGAAATATAGATTCAACTCCATTCTTTGAGTGTTTTATATAGGTCGAGAAAAGTTCTAACTCCAGGAGTTAGCATGTTGGTGAAGACGTATGAGTCCTTTTAAGGTCACCCGGCAAATAGAACCCCGCTTGATAACTATGTCTCTTGTCTGGTGTAACATAGAATCATGTAGATATGTTCAGTTTTCAATGATCTCTTATGAATACCTCTTATTGTTTTGTCAACTTCATTTGTATTCTGATGTTGACATTTGAGATGATGGAAGCGGTTAAGTGTAACCACATAAACGCCATCTTCTCTATAGCACATGCTATAGCATAACAACTTAGCTGTGGTAGAGTTCGGTGCGACGCACGCTATTGACCCGCAAGTCACGATCAACAATAGTGGTTGTAGCAGATGTTCCTAATTTTGGTTTTGACAAGAGCTTTTTTCTTTTGTGGAACAGATGTTGGTGCAACCTTATCAAAATTTCAAGATAGAGTACAGATCTTCTTTGCTGTTCTATTCTGGATGTCTCTATTCTTTTGGGCCTCAGCTTGGGATGGAAGGAATAGACCAAACAAAGGATCAAGATTTAGAAAATAAAATTGTAAGAATTTAATTTGTATATATATACATTATATTATTATTATAAGTTAGAGGGACAGAATTATACATCAATGGAAACTAATTGAAATATGTTGGATGAATGTTCTGTTTCTCCATAAATTATATTCTCGAGAATATTTTGCTTGCCAGAATGACTCAACTAAGGTAGTTTTTGAATACCAAATACGTCAATGGTATCTGGACTAAGATTTCGACCTAATTAACATCATACCAGATCATGAGAGAAAATCATGCAAAACTATCAACTCCAACATCCCAAAAAGAATTGAAGGGGTGAACTGCATGCAAAAACATGTAAGAAATTGAAGTATGACAGAGAAACTTAGGTTGTTCAAAGTGTTTGATAAGAATTAAGAACACTTGATAGAACTAAGTTTCTCTGTCAAACACTTGCGGTGATAAGAATTAAGAACACTTGATAGAACTAAGTTTCTCTTTTCGAAATTTCTCCTATATCACCGCATTTCTCATAAGATCAACAATGTTCATGAAGTTCATGTTCATTTCTCTGCTAATCATCTCAGTTGGTTATAATTTTTTTTCAGCATTCCAATATATCTTTCAAGATGATTGATTCATATTATTAGCATTATCAACTAACTAAAAAGTGTTATCAAACTAGTTGCTACCAAGATTTTCATGAATATATCATGAATAGTATCGCAATATTAATTTACTGCAATGTCTCTCGCTCCATCACCAAACTACCTTATTAGTCCGAAAGTTAGTGTCGACCTCCTGTGCTTCCATAAAAGAATAACTCTTTTCTAATTTATAAAACAACAAATTCGAATAATAGAATATTTCCAACACGATTTTGAACTGGAATATTATTGACACCATACAAACCATGTTTAGTAAGAGTTATGGAAAACAATATCAACTACAGACCTATCCATTGCTATGACTGCCCTGTTTTAGACTCCATCTCTCTTCTTTTATTGTTACTTCCTTTATCTTGATATAACTAATGGACTCAAAAGTGTTCCTGATGCATTTGCTTCTGCTTGCTTCCTTTTCTGTATCATCTTTGACTTTTGGTAGAGGAGATCTGAAAGACATCTCGCTCTCTTCTAGCTCATCAAAACCCTTAACAACCTTGCCTCTCAGATCAGAGTCTTTTAGTTGATGTCATATCTTTCCACCTACAAAGCAAAAAGTTGGAAGTCATTTGTACTTGAAAATACCTTTGCATTTTTTTCCTTTTATCTTACCATTGTGCCTTGTTTCATTTGATTTGCAAGAATCTATCCATCCTATTTTTCTCTTTAGGATCAAACTCTTCAAATTCCCCAATAGTATATCCTAATTTCTTTGCCGTTGATTCTGACCTTAATTTGAGGGATATGTCGTATATCCAAACCCAACACAACTCCCAAAGTGCATCTTCATTTGAGATGATTGTTCCCTTCTAGAGACCCTTTTTAGGACCAATAAGTTCTTATTGAAGCTCCTAGGCCAGTCATGTATCACTGATTCCAAATCCTTTTTTCGAAGTGAATTAGAACATGAACATTGTTCTTGTCTAGATTTTGTATCTCTATTGGATTCTTGAGTCACCATGCTTGAGTCGTTGTGCTCTTAAAAGCCTTGTTGTCGTTGTGCTCTTAAAAGCCTTGTTGAAAGAGTTCAACGCCCATAGTTTTCCAACACGTTTCTTTTGAATATTTCGTCTTAAATTTTCACCTCTTCGTCCATCTTGGCGCCATCTTCTTCTTTTGAGAGAGACATTTTTCCACTTCTCCATTGGTAAATTGAGCATGGATCGCGATTGTTATCGGTATTGAGGGAGGTGTATTAGTAATTACGTCTATTATAGTTATTTTTAATATTATGTCTTTTAATATTCTAAATGAGGCTTTGACCCATTATTTCTGAGAACCCTAACTATTTAAAGTGCCATGTTGTTGAAGTTGTTTTTATGAAAGATCAAGAGTTATTTTATGATTTCTTCCTTTTGTAATCTATATCTATTTTATTTTTAGTGTCATATATCATTGATGCTTTAATTCTTGAATCAATGCCTCTCAAGCCTATCAATCTCTCTTCTAAGGACTTAGATGATGCTACTCAAGTTGTATATAGCCACATTAAAAATGCAATAAATTATACTCATCATTAAATAGATGGTTTCATGAAACAAGTCAGAATTTAGAACATCCATTTAAAAACATCCATACTAGAATGGATAACAAATATGAAGTTTTAGATTTAAGACATGAATTGATCACAACTATTCTCACAAATTTAATGGCTCAAAGTAGACTGTAACAAATCACAATTGTTTACACATCAACATCTTTTTTAGATGTGCCTACAAATACTCAACATTTATGTTAATTATCATGCAGAATTATTTAAATTGAAACAAGAGGCTTTTGTTGTTCATTACCAAACTAAATTCTAAAAGTTGAGAAATCAAGTTGTGGTATTACTTCAAACAATTATTCTTAATTGCTTTATTTATGGTCTAACATCTAAAATTAGAAATGAAATGGATATTTAAAGACTTGTTTCAATTTCTCAAACAATTGACCTTGCCAAACTCATTTAAGCAAAGTTATTAAAAGATGACAAAGATGAAATGGATATTTAAAGACTTTGAATTCAATTTTTTATATTCCCGAACATTGCATGATAAAGATATTTATATGTTTACTATCTATAATTAATAATTATCATAATATCAAAATAAAATCTTTGAAAGTCGCTTTCCACTCTTTCTACTTTCCAGCATCTAGCAATGGTTGCTTGCTACATTATTGGCATATGTAATATAACAACAAAATATGCCCATTTATACTTAAACCAGGTGATGCTATATTCTTGGCCTCACTTGTTGAAGGCTAAGTCAAGATAGCGATTGTACTAATTTGAGACCATCTAATTTTTCAACTCACAACAAAAAAAAAATGTGGCGTGAGTCCCTCCATTTCATGCATTACAATATTCATAATTGTTTATCATCTACCCTGAATTTAGATGATATATAAATGACAATTTGTATCTTAAATTCCACTTGATGTTATTATGGTAGGGTTAACAATTTATAACCTCACTCATTCACTCTCAATCAATTAGCTTTCTCAATGTTTCTCTTTCCTTTTTTTTCTTTCTTAATCAAAGTACTTGTCTTTCACTATAAGTATTTAGCTGTATCTTCCAATAGTTGTTTCAATTTGTACCACTTCTTTCTCACCTTCTCTCATCCTTCTATCTACATTGGCTAGCTCTATTATAATATTACACAACTCCTTCATTTTTGGTTTTTCATTTTGCTTTATCTTTGAAGATGTTACTTAGAAGCTCCTCTACTCCAACTCTAAGTTCATTGTTACTCTATAATTTCAAAGAGTCCTCTCTTGAGCCATATCATACTCTTAAACTTCCTAGAGCAATAACATTTTTTAGTCTAAGCCAAAACAAGACTAAGATGGACCTTAAAAACACATCAAGTCCTAAGAAAACAATTTCCTTAGAAAGAAATGAAGTGAAAGAGGCTAAGATGATGCAAACTTCAATGATGGGTGGTGGGATGAAGAATAATGGTGGATGTAAAAGTGGTGGAAGAGGATCAGATGGAGGAAATGGAAAAGGTTGGAATCTCAATGAAGGAAATAATCATGGTAGAGATAAGATGGATTCTTATTACCAAAACATGATTGAATTACACCCTTGTGATGCTCTTTTGCTCGGAAATTATGCTAAGTTTTTGAAGGAGGTATATATATATATATATATATATATATATATATATATATTTATCTTTGCATGGTTACTTAGGCCTAACCATGTCTTCTTTCTCATAAAATTGAAAATTGAAAATAATAAAATGAATAGCATGCTTACTAGATTTTTTTTTTAAATTTAAATTTGTGTTATCTTTGAATTGGTAAAAATGAGTTGATAAATTCACCTATGACATTGTTTAATAAAATGTAAAACATTAGTTAATAAAATTTTCGTTTAAGATATGTTTTATTCCTTTAATTTAATTTAATATTCTACTTTAATCTCTTAACTAAAAAAATATTATAAGTTAGTTAGTTAACTTCAATTTTTTTTTTTATATTATGTGGTCCCTTCCATCAATTTATGATAAAAAAATGTTAAATTATCGTGATGTGGATGTACAACAAGTTTAAAGTCCAAATATTAATATGAGAATTTCCTTTGGGATGGTGAAAATGAAGAAGATAAAGACTATCAAATTGAATCTGATCAGAGCCATCACTTACAAGAAACTAAGCATTTCCCTCATTTAACAGCAGCTTCATAAGCCTTAACGGTTTTCTCTCTTGAGTGATAAATTGCATGACAAATGAAGCATGTTGTTTCAAAGAGTTACAGGGATTTTGTCTAATATCCACGAGTAAGTAGTTTAAACCCTAATAAGAGAGAGCAACACTCACTGCTCTTGTCTTGTGCTAGTACGATTACCACTTCTAAACAAGTCGGTGTATTACCGCAAAAACCGTCATGACAAAACTGTGTCAAAAAGTGTCAATATTATTACTGTTATTCACCGTTTTTATGATAAATTATAAATTATAATTAATTCACACCGCAACAAATGCATTTCATGTGTGAAGTACACATTTATTGGTTATTGTTTTTCCACCATATGGTTTATATGTATAAATATCATCTCTAAAGTTTTTCCTAATTTTATCTTCATATTTTCAAGTAATTGAACAACTAAGATTTGAAGTTGACAAGATAAACAAATGATTTGATACGTAAAGATGTGAGTCAATTACAAGTGGGGTCAATCAACAATATGAATCTACTTGGGCCATTTGGTTAGTTTGTTGATTAAGAGACTCGACTTTTGAAATTACATGTATGTTAGATTTGGTGGTCGAAAGGTTTTACTTAATTTGGTGTTTAATGATATCCTCATATTCTTTTTGTTGTTTTTAAAGATGAATGTGAAGGTTTGAAAAAAGATAGTGAGAATTCAAATAAGATTTCTTTGGGGAGAAGTGAAGGGAGATTCTAAGATCTCTTCATATGGTTGATTTAGACCTTTTGGAAAAATAGAGACGATGATTGATTTCAAGTGCTTCTTGGCGTGATATACTTGCATCTAGATAATATACCTCAGTTGTTTCTTCTCTTAGGGAGATGGGATCTCATATTTCTAATGTGTTTCTACTTGGTGGAAATGTGTTTCTTATTAAGTCCAAAGAAGATGACCTCTCTGATTAGTTTGTTGATGGTATATTAAAGAAAGTGGGATCGTACCTCTATACTTAGTTTTGGATGTATCCTTAGGTACGTTTCATTCTCTTTAAGAATAAGATCCTTATGTTATTTCTGATTTCTAATTAACTGGATGGATTGGTGGGAGAGACTGGCTGGTGGGAAAACTGAAACCTAATTTGAAATCTCTGGTGGAGGAGACCATTATTTCTTCATTAATTACTAGTTTTTGATAACCTTCTCTTGATTATTCAAAGCTTTACGCTCTCTTAAGAAAGAGATAAGTGAAGTTAGAACTATACTAGGGATGGTATATTCTTAGTTTCCTCTTCTTACAATGTTTAGTTGGACTTCAATAACTATTTTTTGTCCTCTCATTTGATCAAGCACTTGACCCTTCCCCTAATTTGGATTAGTTGGGCTATTTTTAAAGTAATGGTCTTTTCTTAGAAGCTCTTACAAGATAGATTCCCTTTAGATCGAACCTAAAGTTCTTTGTGAATTAGTCCTTTGAATTGGCTGTATTATGCTAAACAACAACATGGAGAAGTGTTTAAAGTGTTCAAGTTGATCTAGTTTGCTTAAGCTGTATGGAACTGCATAAAAGACATATGCTGAACATGATATCTCAGCGAGTGGAAGAGCATCTGGGCCTTGCTCAACAAGTGTCAGATTAATGTGTTTTGAAGTATGATTTGTAGAAGATTTATGAAAGATTTTATTGTTATTAATTTAATAACATGATAATATGATTTTTTGGACAACTGTGAAGATTAAATCATATTTAAAGAGGTTTAAATTTAAATTTGTAACAAATCGAATCATATCTTTTTGTTGGAGATATTCAAGGAACAAATAAAATATCCAACAAAATTTACCTTATTTCTGGACGAATTCAAATCTCAAATCCATGAAGAAAAGCCCAGAAGAATTATGCTATATAAGGAGGTCACAACCTATTTTAGAAATCAAGCATTGAACCATTCACATTGAAAATCTTAGAGTGTTAGGTTTGTGTCTTGTATTTCACGCTAATGTCCTAATATGATTAGTGTTGAATCTACATGTACACCTTTATGTTTTAGTAACTTGGCATAGAAGATTTGTCTAGTTGAGTTGTAAAATTCAACATCAATCATCTTATGGATTGAATTTGGTCATCAAGGTTTAATGGTTGTCATCTCCTATCACAGATTGTGTGATAGAGAAAGAAAGTGAGTAGGTTATCATATTTAGAGAGAGCTTGTAACACCCTAATTTTATTAAATTATTTTATTTTGATTATTTATGATTTGCTTGTGATTTTTAATACTTTATTTAATTTTTTAGTAGTATTAATCAAATGAGTAAGAGTATGAAGAGTGTGTGTCTTTGAGGTGGGAGTTTCGAGAGAGAGTTAGAGGTTGATACAAGTAATTTAGAATTACTTTGATGATAAAAATTTGTAATTATTTTATTTATTTAATTAAATGAGGAAATAGTGAAATTGGGTCAAAAGTGAAAAATAAGAGAAATAGAATGGAACAAGGAGTAAAAGAGGAATAGATGTGAGGAGGAAAATATAAATATTGAGAGTGGATTAATTAGGTTAACATATGTTTAGAGAGCCCTAATTCTAATCAGTACGTAGAAACTTTGGAAAAGAGAGAAAGAGGCTATAGACAAGAGGGAGGCTAAAAGTTGAAGGAGGAACACATTCAAACCAAATCAGATTTAAATTTTGTGACAGGAATTAAGGTAAGGGGAGAGATTTCTTCTTTAATGGATGGTTAAGCATGAGGGATAAAATGAGATGTCCTTAAGCTCTGATAGAATTGTTTGTGTTGTATATGAAATATGTATAATTATGCTGTATTGATATTATATGATGATTTTGATGATCAAATTCGTGAACCAATATATGCTAAATATTATGTTATGAGTGTTTTCATATTTATGCAATTGCTGATGTTTTTGAAGGTTTTAGAGATGTTGCAAAATTATGTAAATAAGGGATTAAAGGTGTTAATTTGATGTGACCATATGATACTCATGTGTGTATGTGATGTATGAAATATCTTCATGGCGACCAGGTATCCACGGGTTTTTAGTCGATGGCGAGCGTCATCACCATGACAGGTAAACTCGCCATGTACCCAGAATGAGCGTAATAAGCTCTGGTGCATGGAATTGGATTTCAATTCCACTTTTTGCTGTTGTATGGTGATTTGAGGTATTGTTGGATACTATTTGAGGCCTTCTGTGAATTATTAGTAGTGCTTAATTAATTTTAACATGATTTAAATGATGAATGATGTTGTGTACTGCAAACGATGAATGTTATGATGATATTTGTTGTGATAAAATATTGTTGTATGTTGATATGTCTACCTATAATGATTTTGTTATTGGTATTATTGGTGTTGTGCAAAGTCATAAGACGAGCTATATGTGCATATGTTTGTTTGCATGTCAATGTTGGAAGTTATGCATCAAGGTGTTTGAACTTCAGTTCTTTTTGGTGAGCTCAAATCCTATGGTGGGAATCTGACACGGGTAGCTAATTCCAGTGTGGGGTTAGTGAGTTTTGCTGTATGGTGATTAGTGACGATTTTTGGTGTGCTGTAGTTCCAAGAGAGAATCAGATCCTATGGTGGAGATCGAGGGGCGAGATGGATCTGTTTTTTCCATAAATGGTACCATATGCATGTTGAGTTAGTTGTTGAGTGCATTTGTATTAATGTTGCATTAGTGAATGACTATTTGATAGTATGTTGTTTGGATGAGAATACTTGATCATGTGTTAATGTTGTTATGATTAGCGTATGTGATTGTTGTTGTGTGATATTCTACCTTTTCTTGTTTACATTATTAAATTATGGATGTGTATTCTCACTCCATTTACTTTAATCTTGTCCACCATGGGCATCTTGCAGATAACCAGGATTATAAGTTGTTGTTGTAAGTGGGAGATAACTCTCAAAGTTATTTTCATTAGTTATCGCATTTTAGTGGTTTAATGCTCTAATTCTATAACACTGAGTGAGTGAATGATTTTACTCTATTGTTATGTTTTGTAATCAAGAATTGAATGTTATACTCTTGACGTTTGAGTTTATGTTGATTGTGGATACTTTTGCTATATTTGTTTTGATTCAAATAAAGTATTTTTATGAGACTTAATAATTGTGAAGCATGCTTATTTGATGAATTTCTTTGTGATGATACCCTAAGTGAAGACGAGCTTGCTATATAAGGAGGTCACAACCTGCTTTGGACAAAGTCAAATCTCAAATCCATGAAGAAAAACCTAGAAGAATTATTCTATATAAGGAGGTCATAACCTGCTTTAGAAATCAAGCATTGTAGCATTCTCATTGAAAATCTTAGAGTGCTAGGTTTGTGTCTTGTATACCACACTAATGCTCTAATAGGAGTAGTGTTAAATCTATATGTACACCTCTATATTTCTGTAACTTGACATATAAGGTTTGACTAGTTGTGTTGTAAAATTCAACATCATTCATCTTGTTGATTGAAATAGATCACTGGGATTTAATGGTTGTAATCACCTATCACGGGTTGTGTGATAGAGAAAGAAAGTGATTAGGTTCTCACATTTAGAGGGAGACTCTAAATAGAAAGTCACTGGATAATATTAGGAAGAGGCATTGGACAACATGGTCTTATTTTTGCTTGTAAATATAAATGTACTAAGGTACTAATATTGAATTTCATTTCTTGGGTTGTGGAGTCAACCCTCTAGACGTAGGTGTGGTTTCACCGAACTAGGTTACCAATTATCTGTGTAATTTATCATTTTTAGCTCCATCAACTTACACAACTCATAATGTTATATTTGTGTTGGTTCTGGTATAACTTGTCGAACATGTTGTCAGAGCATCATGTTCAACATCTATCCCTTGAGAAATAAAATTTAAATTGGTATTAGAGTTTGGTTTCCTAGCCTTTTGGGTGAGCTCCAGGGAAGACAACTTCTACTCAAATGGAGACAATTAAAAATGGAAGATTATTCAAAAAACTACCTGTGTTGGATATAACCAATTATGATTATTGGAAGTCAGTGATGATTGT